ATGAATACAAATATAACATGATAAAAGTTAAAAACCTAAATTTATAAGAGATGCGAATGGTTGAATTATAATAATATTAAAAACTTCCGTAAAATGTAGATATAAATAGATATAAGAGTTTAATCCTTAAATGGTCTAAATGTTGCTGTGCTGTGAAGATCATTTTAAATAAATTAGTTTTTGAGGACTTAACGGAGTCTGATTTTCTGATATTTAGAGGCACATTATTCCAAAGTCGTGTTGATACAGCAAAAGAACGGCCTCCTTCAGTCTCGCGCTTATAAAAAGGACACATAGAATTATAGCTAGCATACTGCGTGCTTCTGTCATGTTGTGTATTGTTAAGTGTTCGTTGGGATAGTTCGGAAGAGAGCCATTTAGATGCCTGTAATAAATAGCTCATTTGTTAATTTTACTCTGTTCATAAAAAGGTATCCATTCCAATTTATTAAAGTGTCACAGAGAGTACTAGGTGGTTGGCATATAAAATGATTCTAGCTGCACTCTTCTGTAATTTCACGACTCAGTAAAGTGATTCCTTGTCACATGATGACCAAATGACATCAGCATAGCTTATTACTGGGGGAATAATAGCATTATAGAATAGTAATTGCTGTTTAAGTGACAGAAAGGCTCTGATTTTACTCAAAACACCTATGCGTGAGGCAAGCTTAAGGCGAAGACTTTGAAGATGACAATCAAATGAGAGGGAATGATCGATTGTTAAACCTAAAAGTGTTGCACTTTTTACATTTATAAGCCTATTTTCCTCAACTGTGACAACAAGTTCATCATTGATCTCGGACACTTTCTGTAGATCTCCTATCTTAGGCGCTCTCTGTAGATCATTTAGAGTTTGGACTTTGACTCGTTGATGGGGAGTTTATTTGAGTCGGCTCAGTAATGTATTTCATTTGAAGAGGTATTTAGAGAAAGTTTAAGTTCAGGTAAATTATCAAAGTGAGCAGATGCTCTAAGGGTATTATCATCTGCATAGAGGTCTACTTGTGTGAACTAACATACAGTGGAATAATAGTTTTAATAAAAATGAACACAAAGAATAGCTCTTCCAACTAGCTTTCATTTGTTTCGACAGAAACTGGAAGACAAAGACAACCTCTCTTTTTTTTTCAGCCGCTGCTTCGTGGCCCACTCTAAAAAAATTTTTCTATCTATACTGATGAATACACTGACAATAATTGTTGAGCAAGGTTACAAGCTCATAGAATTGCTCTGTTTGGCCATCCAGAAGGCTAGAAACTCAATAACAGTGCTCCATTTTTAAGCGAGTAACATTATTCTTTCAGCTGTGGAGTATACAAGATGGCATGTGTAAACAAACCTTTACTGGACACGAGTCAGATATCAATGCAGTAGCGGTAAGATTCAAACTAAAACTTTTAGTCAGCTTTAAAATTAATTCTGGTGTTAGTGTCATACTCTCAGTTTGGGAGATTTCTCAACTCTGTGTAGGAGTGACTAAGACTGATGAATCTAGCAAGGAAGTAGATAGTTGACAAGAATGAAGACAAAGATCAATTAGAGTATGAATAAACTGTATAAGAAGTGTTTAGAAGACAGTAAAGGGTAAATTATGATTGAGATCTGTAGTTGAAGAGGTAAATATAACATTTTTGGTTCGTTTCAGTATTTCCCCAATGGACATGCATTTGCCACAGGGTCTGATGACGCCACCTGTAGGCTCTTTGATATCCGAGCTGATCAGGTAAGTAGACCATTCTTTTTTGTTCATTCCATATGATCATGATTAAGTCCCCTTTGAAACATGGAACAGGATCAAAAGCATCTTGTGTGTCTTAATTGCTTAGAGAGATAAACTGAAATTTCTATTAAGATTGGTGGTGAGGTTTCAAAGGACTTTCAAAGCAGGGAGGAGAGTAAGTGGTTAAGTTTTAACCCATGAGTAGTGACCAAGACAATTTCTCCTTACAATATCAATACGATATCAAGCAGACAAGTAATGAGAATAAGGAAATGGTGGGATTATCAGTAGATCCAATACCGAATTCTCCAAACTAACATCAAAAGAACTGTATGGCAGACAATAAGGAGAATTACTGTTGAGATCTTGGTTGTGAAAGGGTTCGTAACTTTTTCCATAAGTAGCTGTTGATAGTTTAATAGGCAGCTGTACCCAGAAAAAGTGGAGGCGCAGTTGCCTCATGATTAGTGCGCTCGACTCTGGATTGAGTGGTCCGGGTTCGAGCCTCGGCCAGGACATTGTGTTGTGTCCTTAGGTAAGACACTTTACTCTCACAGTGCCTCTCTTCACCCAGGTGTATAAATGGGTACTGGCAATTTAATGCTGGGGGGGTAACCCTGCGATGGACTAGCATCCCATCCAGGGGGGAGTAGAAATACTCCTAGTCACTTCATGCTACAGAAACCGGAGTTAAGCACCGGCCTAATGGGCCACTAGGCTCATAAACAGACTTTACTTCTTTACCCGGGAAAGGGGCTCTAAAGCCATACCCAAACACGAGAGCCTGCTTACAGTGGTAACAGGTGGCTATAGACCACTTGTTATTGGCGTTATTGTAACCCTGATTAAAAGTAAATCTCGAAGGGAGCGGATGAGATGAGAAGGTAAAGCAGAATGAGTGAGTGTTAGATATCTAATGAATCTACCCGACTAGCACATACTGAAGTAAAAATGATTCGCTTTGATTTATCTGTTCTAGGAGCTCATGGTTTATGCTCATGATAACATAATCTGTGGAATCACCTCCGTGGCCTTCTCCAAGAGTGGTCGCCTGCTATTGGCTGGTTATGATGATTTCAACTGCAATGTATGGGACACATTGAAAGGAGAGAGGGCAGGTGTCCTCGCTGGGCATGACAACCGTGTTAGTTGTCTGGGTGTTACCGATGATGGTATGGCTGTTGCTACTGGCAGTTGGGACAGCTTCTTGAAGATCTGGAACTAAGCTCCCCCTCTTCTGTCCTTATTCTTCCTATCTCTGAGAGCAAAGTTTTAGTGGTTATATTTTATACATTGTGATATAAGTTGTGGTTCTTATTGGACGGTGCACAACTTTAAAGGTGCTCTTGTGAACGTTATCATTGCTCCCTCCACTAAAGTCATTGTATTTTAGATCCTACACTTTAAGACAGATTTGTGACTCTTTGCTTACATCTCATGAGAGGGGCTTGGTGGGCCACCTTTTATCGCAAAAAATGCATAGATTTTTGCCACAAAAGTTGCGCATTGTAACAGAATCACCAGTGTAAAAAAAGAAATTGTTGCGGAATAGTCTATAGGATAAAAGAGAAGTCATGATTTATGTGTTTGGTTTACTTGAATAATTTACCCCCCCAAGCCAATATGAATGAAACTTTAAAACAAAATTCTATAAAAGAAAACTACGAAAAATATTTCTGGCTACTATAATGCGCACATGTTAGTATCATTTTTCTCGTTTCCTTTCTTTGTATCTGCGCTTGTCGCTCCTGTAATTATGAATAATATTGACCTACCCTGTTGACGTATCATGATGCTTAAGTGTAAAAAAAGATTTAAATGCTTGCAGAAGGCCAGCTGGAGTATTGGACTGGGCTGTTTCACTCAAACTTTATGTTGAAATTCATTATTTCTTTAATCAAAGCACAAACCATAAAATGATATCAGTTTTTTAAAGAAAACATATTGACAAAAGCAGTTAATTTCAAGCAGAAGAGAAGCTCTCTGTCTGCGCCCTATCATGTTATTAAAAATATTCCTTTTTTTTGAAAAGTCAGTGTAATTGTGAGCTCGTTTTGCTTCTGAAACCTTAAGCAAATTTTGGAGAATACTTATTAAAAAGAGAACTGAGTTCATGTAACTGTCCCAGTGCAATTATTCCAGCTTTGGCTGCAGTCACTCCATAGCTTAGTAAATCATAGGGTTTGTAACTGTTAGCAGTCGAAGGCCAAGACGTGTAATTCTGGTCGTAAAACTGACTTTATATTGTCATTGTGAAATGTGAGTCAATAAAGATGAAGTCTTCAATGTAGTTTGTGTTGGTTGATGACTGAACCTGGCCGTGGCTGGTCACGCAAGCGGACATGGCGCGTTGCGTGAATGATCCGTGAGATGTGCAAGGAAGATTTGTCGATTTATCGTGTATTAGATTCTCGACACAATTATTTAGTTAGGTTAGGAGAGCTAACTTCCTTATTGCGCTTCCCTTCGTTTCCGAAGCTGCAATCTCGGACTCCTTCCAATTATAAATTTGTGAAAAGGGTTTTATTTCCTTGCATCACGTTTTCATTACGGAATGAAATAATGGTGTTATTGTAGAATGTGATACTCCCTTCTGGTTACTTACATAGCCACACCCGTTGGCAAGCAGTTGGTAATCTGTTGATGTACTTCACTTTTACAAATGCGTTACCTCCAGGGTTTGTTTTTGACAATTATTTTCGGGTTTACTGCAAATGGGTAACTTATTACTGTTGGCCTAAAGCTGTTCTTCACAATTACTCATTTCCAATTCATCATTATTAATAATAGCCTTGGGCCCAGTTGTTCGAGGGCTGATTAGTGCTAACCCAGGTTTAAATTTAAATCCAGGTTTCAACAATTCTCTGCTCAAAAGTGTGTTTGGGATGATTTTTCCCATTTTATTAGACCATTCAATTATCAAATTGAAGACAAGTAGAATTAAAATGAATCTTTTTTTAAACCTTTCAGATCTGAAATCAAATTTCACACTAATCCTTGGTTATTTTAACCCACCTTTGAACAACCTGGCCCAGGGCATTAAAAACTGAGTCCAACAATTCTGAATGGTGGTCAGCAAATTCCCCAATCACTGAAAGATACTTCATAAACATTCTGCTCATGTCGGAAGTTAAGAAACGAGGGTAACTTATCTCTGTGGCCAGATTAGAAAAAAATCACCCCTTGATCCTAATATACCATCAATCACATTCTCCACACTGTTCTCTATACATTTCCAAAGGTGCAGACAAAGAGAATTTGATTAACAATCGAGAGCTTCTTTAGTTGGTGGTCATTTCCTTTATTCAAATTTGCTTCATGTTTAACTCAGAGGTGACAATGTAAAGAAATTAGATACTAGTCACTATTACGAGTCAAAGGGTTAAAGTCCATAATGAAGTTACAAGGCAAATCAATCACAATTCATTTGTTGTATTTTCCTTTCTTTAACTTTAGTGAAAATTCTTGTTATTTGATGCACTGTCTAACACATTTCTTTTCCCATCCCTTGGCAAGCCATCTTGACAAAGCTTCACACTTCACACTACATTTGCTTTTATCTTGTCTTTTGGCTCATTCCAGTGGTTTGCGAAATTTCTCTCCAGCATACTTGGCCCCAGCTCCAAGTTCCTCTTCAATTCTATAAAATAAGGCCAACAAAAATTAGGAAAGCTCTTAACTTTCCAAAGACTGATACAAAATGATGGGGATCCTTTAGACTTCACAGATTAAATATTCCAATTCTAAAGCAAGAAACTGAGTAAAAAGAGAACTGCTCACCATTAGAGAATTAATTTTGTTTAACAAACTGTTGAACCCATTGTGGCCTGCAGAACTTTATGAACACTAGACTATCAAAAATTGAACTACATCTAGAAAAGGGTAGTGCAGATGCATTCTGCACTGAGGTCAAAATTTGGAAACCCAGGTGAAATAAACTCTGAAGAAACTAACTTCACTTTTTACAACAAACAAATTTTCAAACTGACTGGGACTATGTCACTTGAACAATACATTGAACACCATCAGCTGAAATGGATGGCACACTGTCTTTGAATGGGTTGTGATAAAATCTACAAATGGGTTTTATTCATGCATCCAACCCAGAAAAGGTCAGCTGATATTTGGAACCAGAGTCACACAAAACTGGCTTGGACAATTTCCAATTGCAAATGTTTGACAAAGACAACTTCAAAAAGTGGTTATCGGCAAGATACTGCAAGGTCCTGTGATGACAACTTTGCACTTGGACTACAACCATGGATGGATGAATACTCCCCCTTATAAAT